ATACCCCTGATGAACATCGATGTGAAAATCCTCAATAAAATACTAGCAAACTGAATCCAGCAGTACAACAAAAAACTTATCCACCACGATCAAGTTGGCTTCATCCCTGGGATGCAAGACTGGTTCAACATATGCAAATTAATAAATGTAATCCATCACATAAACAGAACCAATGACAAAAACCATATGATTATCTCAATAGATGCAGAAAAGGCCTTTGATAAAATTCAACATCGCTTCATGTTAAAAACTCTCAGCAAACTAGGTATTGATGGAACATATCTCAAAATAATAAGATCTACTTATGAATAACTCACAGCCAATATCATATTGAATGGGCAAAAGCTGGAAGCATTCCCTTTGAAAACCACTACCAAACAAGGATGCCCTCTCTCACCACTTCTATTCAACATAGTATTGGAAGTTCTGGCCAGGGCAATTAGGCAAGAGAAAGAAATAAAGGACATTCAAATAGAAAGAGAGGAAATCAAATTGTCTCTGTTTGCAGATGACATGATTCTATATTTAGAAAACCCCACTGTCTCAGCCCAAAAACTCCTTAAGCTGACGAGCAACTTCAGCAGTCTCAGGATACAAAATCAATGTGCAAAAATCACAAGCATTCCTTTACACCACAGTAGACAAGCAGAGAGCCAAATTATGAATGAACTCCCATTCATAATCGCTACAAACAGAATAAAATACCTAGGAATACAGGTAACAAGGGATATGAAGGACCTCTTCAAGGAGAACTACAAAGCACTGCTCAAGGAATAAGAGAGGACACAAACAAATGGACAAACATTCCATCCTCATGGATAGGAAAAATCAATATCCTGAAAATGGCTATACTGTGCAAAGTAATTTACAGATTCAATGCTATTCCCATTGAACTACCATTGACATTCTTCACAGAAATAGGAAAAACTATTCTAAATTTCATATGCAATCAAAGAAGACCCACTATAGCCAAGACAATCCTAAGCAAAAAGAACAAAGCTGGAGTCATCACAGTACGTGACTTCAAACTGTACTATAAGACTATGGTAACCAAACAGCAGGGTACTGGTACCAAAAAAGACAAATAGCACAATGGAACAAAACAGAGACCTCAGAAATAACACCACACATCTATAACCATCTGATCTTCAACAAACCTGAAAAAAACAACCAATGGGGAAAGGATCTCCTATTCAGTAAATGGTGCTGGGAAAACTAGTCAGCAAAATGCAGAAAACTGAAACTGGACCCCTGCTTTACATATTATACAAAAATTAACTCAAGATAAATTAAAGACTTAAATGTAAAACCCCAAACCATAAAAACCCTAGGCAATACCATTCAGGATGTAGGCATGGGCAAAGACTTCATGACAAAAATGCCAAAAGCAGTTGCAACAAAAGCCAAAATTGACAAATGGGATCTAATTAAACTGAAGAGCTTCTGCACAGCAAAAGAAAGTATCATCAGAATGAGCAGGCAACCTATAGAATGGGATAAAATTTTGCAACCTACCCCCATCTGACAAACGTCTAATCTCCAAAATTTACAAGGAACTTAAACAAATTTACAAGACAAAAAAATAATAAAAAAAACCTTATCAAAAAGTGGGCAAAGGATATGAACAAACACTTTTCAAAAGAAGTCATTTATGTGGCCAACAGAGATATGAAAAGAAGCTCAACGTTACTGATCATCAGAGAATTGAATATTAAACCACAATGAGATACAATCTCACGCCAGTCAGAATGATGATTATTAAAATGTTGGGAAACAATAGATGCTGGCGAGGCTGTGGAGAAATAGGAACACTTTTACACTGTTGGTGGGAATGTAAATTAGTTCAACCTTGTGGGAGACAGTATAGCAATTCCTCAAGGATCTAGAACCAGAACCATTGACCCAGCAATCCCATTACTGTGTATATACCCAAAGGATTATAAATCATTCTATTATAAAGACACATGCACACGTTTGTTTATTGCAGCACTATTTACAATAACAAAGAAATGGAAACAACTCAAATGTCAATCAATGATAGACTGGATAAAGAAAATGTGGTACCTATACACTGTGGAATACTATGCAGCCATAAAAAGAATTAGATTATGTCCTTTGTAGGGACATGGATGAAGCTAGATGCCACCATCCTCCGCAGACTAACACAGGAACAGAAAACCAAACACTGCATGTTCTCACTCATAAGTGGGAGTTGAACAGTGAAAACACATGGATACAGAGAGGGAAACAAAAGACACTAGGGCCTGTTGGGGGCTGGGGAGAGAGGGGCGGGAACTTAGAGGACGGGTCAATAGGTGCAGCAAACCACCATGGCCCACGTATGCCTATGTAACAACCCTGTATATTCTATGTATGTATCCCATTTTGTTTTCTTTTTAAATAAATAAAGAAAAGCAAAAATAAATTTTAAAAAGATATGGGTGTTAAAAGAGAAAGGCTTATATGCAGCACAACGTCTAAAATAAAACATGCTGGCCTGACACTTTTATTTTTGGTTGCTCTTTTTCCTTCTTTAGTCACTTAAAATTTCTAATTTCTGGCATGTATCTTAATGTGACTTATTTTTTAAACAGTGTCTTTACTCTTTTCACAACAACACACCTTGAATATAAAAAGGAATAAATATTCTTCACTTCTACTAAGAACAGGGCTTACTACCATTTATCTAAAGTGCACAGACCACTACTCTTTTTCTTCATGTTTTAATAGACACATGAAGAAAAATCTTTCTCCTAAATTTACAATTAAATAATCCAAGCTTCCACAAAAGTTAACAGACATCTCAAATTTGGCAGATAATAAGAGAAATAAGGACTATGGCAAAGGAATGTACACAGTCTAAAGAGAGCGGAGCTCCAGCAAATTATTTCCATAGCAAATTTTTGTCCCGGTATTATCCCATATTTTTCTCTTCTAAGGGAAGTTGAAAATCCAGATTTTTATGTGAAGGGCCATGGATTTTATAGGTTAACATCATTGTGCTATAAGTTAGTATATTATAAGCCAGAACGTCATACACACACATACATACACACTATATTTGGTGTGTGCACACATAATAAAACACAAAGAAAAGCATGCACATGCACGATGCACAAGCACTCATACACATGCATCCTCCCATCAACACACACAAACAACTGCAGGGTATATTAGGGACATGGGTCTTTATTAAAAAAAAAAAATCATTATTTTTGTCTAACTTGAACATTAGGCTTTTATGCTTTGAAGCATAAATATTACACTAAAAATATTTTTCCAAATATAGATAGATAGATAGAGACAGAGAGAGAGAGAGAGAGAGAGAGAGAGAGAGAGTGTTAGCAGAAACAAAGGTAGTAGGAAAAAACATTTTTAGATTGTGTTACCACCATAGGAAGTTAACATGAGTTGATGGCCATTTAATGAAACTAATTTAGCACAGGAATTTTTTTTTCACTTCTCTAGATTTGTTAATTTTGGGGTTTACAACCTTGATTTGATCTGGCTTTCCAGTGTTGTCATTGTTGATTTTAAATCTACTTTTTTGAAAAGGTTTTTGGAATTTACTTTCTCTTTGTTGCCTGTAACTGAACCTGTATCATAGACTCGCAATGAAGCTTTCTGCCTCACTGAATCACTTTCATAGACTCTGTATTAAAACCGAGTTGGGCTCTTTCTTTCCTTCTTCCTTTCCCTTACTCGTTCCACATAAGGACAAAGAACTCCTTTGAAGGAAGCCTACAGGCTCAACATCTCATGAAAGAGGATCGATTGTGTGTGTCTTCTTTTCCTACACAAGTCCCATAAAGCATGAAGTCGCCAGACCAATATCATTATTTGGGGTCAGCTAGGTAAAAATTTGAAATTGAGGTTGGTCAGAGTATGACTTCAAATATAGTAACTATCTAGATTACTTGTGCTTAAAAGAAAAATGATATCTTAGATTCGAAATTCTCAATAATACATGTCCATTGCTGCTTCTCTTAATTTTAAATTGCCCTCGGGATAGCAAAAATAAATAGTAAGTTTAATAAAATATCAATAAATGCTGTAGTTTGAAATAATGGTTTTCACATTCAAAGTTATTGGTTATAGTAAAGATGTGTTACAAACACATATACAATTATATCACACTTGATTGTAGTTTACAATTCTCAGGTAAGGGTAAAATCTACATCTACTAAGGGAATACAAATGGTGGTTTAGTGCTTATCTTGAAGTAGCAGACTTCTAGAAGATACCATGAAAGATTACTTTAATTTTTATTAAATATATAAATCACTAAACCAGATACTACTAGTGCACTCTTCTCCCATTAAAGATATATAAATATGTATATTCGCATATATATTAATGTAAATTGCATTTATATTATATATTCAATTATAAATATAAAATATAAATATCTAGATATTGATCTATAAAGAGTTAAACAAAATCTATAAAGAGTTAAATAAAAATTCTAGAATTGGAAAAACATAATTAAGATATATTAGTGACTCAGTAGACATCACCAAAAAGCCCAGAATAAATAAACTGCAAGATGAGACAGAAAAAAATACCCAAATTGAAGCACAGAAAGATGAAAAGTGTAAAAGACATACCGCGAAGATCTAATATTATTATGGTAACTGAAATCCTAGAAGCAAAGAAGAGCAAAAAAAAGACTTCGCCAAGTCAAATACACAAAAATCTCCGCGAAATCTATGAAAAATCTTTTCTAATAATTTTCAATTGACACAGACATATCATAGGAAGACTTCAGAAAACAAAGAACAAAACAATTCTACCTGAATGAGCAAGATAAGATGCATTACCTTCAGAACAGCAATAATAAGAGAGATTAATTTCAACAGAAAATACACACAAAAAAAATAAAAATCCTAAAATTTCCCTTAGGGAAAAAAAATCCCTTCCAACCCTCAGTTTTATATTCAATGAAAATCTCTCTCACCACCCGTTTCCCGGCGTGCGCCGGCTGAGGCTCCCGGCCCTCGACTTTTGCCCGTCGCCCCAAGATGGCGGACACGATGAGGTGGTGCTGCGTCGGTTGCGCCTGAGGTGGCTGTGAGGACTAACGGTCGGCGCGGCTCCACAGCTGAGGCAGAAGACCGTCGTCCAAGGAGGAGGAAGAAGAGGAGGCGGCCCCACTGCCGGCCGACTTCTCGCTAGCCACCGGCTCAACACTCCCGCCACCCAGGGTTGGCCCCTCAGCAGCCCGCCCGCTGCCAGACCCCGCTGCCTTCCCCAGCCGCCGCCATGAAGCTGACCGACAGCGTGCTGCGGAGCTTCCGCGTCGCCAGGGTGTTCTGCGAAAACTCGGACAAGATTAACTGCTTCGATTTCAGCCCCAACGGCCAGACGGTCATCTCAAGCAGCAACGACGACTCCATCGTGCTCTACGACTGCCAGGAGGGCAAGCCAAAGAGAACCCTGTACAGTAAGAAATATGGCGTGGACCTCATCAGATTCACTCATGAGGCAAACACAGCTGTTTACAGCTCTAACAAAATAGACGATACTATTCGTTACTTGTCCTTGCATGACAACAAATACATCAGATACTTTCCTGGACATAGCAAAAGGGTGGTGGCCTTGTCCATGTCACCTGTGGATGACATTTTCATTTCTGGGTCTCTTGATAGGACCATTCGACTCTGGGATCTCCGGGCTCCTAACTGCCAGGGCCTCGTGCATCTACAGGGGAAGCCAGTTTGTTCTTTTGATCCAGAAGGGTTAATTTTGGCTGCAGGTGTCAACTCTGAGATGGTCAAACTTTACGACCTTCGTTCTTTTGATAAGGGGCCATTTACTACCTTTAAGATGCAGTGTCATCGAACCTGTGAGTGGACAGGACTTAAATTCAGCAACGATGGCAAGGTCATCCTCATTTCCACCAACGGCAGCTTCATTTCTCTCATTGATGCATTCAAAGGAGTGGTGATGCACACGTTTGAGGGTTATGCAAACAGCAAAGCTGTCACACTGGAGGCTTCGTTTACTCCAGACTCTCAGTTTATTATGATTGGTTCGGAGGATGGCAAGATCCATGTCTGGAATGGAGAGACTGGTATAAAAGTAGCTGTGTTGGATGGTAAACACACCGGCCCGATTACATGTTTGCAATTCAACCCCAAGTTCATGACTTTTGCCAGCGCATGTTCCAACATGGTCTTCTGGTTGCCCACCATTGATGACTCGCCCTAATGCTGCTCGGCTATTACTGTACAGTGACGGCGGCCGTTGGAAGAAACTCACGGGGGGCTATGATAATACTGAGATTGGATGGTTTGACTGGGCTGCAGGGCATCCTTTACGTGGCCTTCTCATGGATGTGCTGTAAATCTGCTCAAAAGAAAATAATTACTTTGCTGAGCATCTTCAAAAGGACTCTCGGTGCAACAGACTCAATTGGAACTCAGCTTTTCTAGCTGTCCCTGCACCAAGGTCTGCTAGAGGAATGATCAGACTCACGATTTGGGTAGAGTGGGGCTCTCAAGACATCTTCAATTTGAATGTACCTGCTGCTGAGAGCCGATGAAGTCATCAGCTCTGCGCATCCCTTCTGCTACCCCCCGCCCAAATGTATGGCAAGCTACGGTCCTGGTTTTGAAATGCTAGAGCAGCTCAGTGCCCTTTGCCCTCACCTTGCATGTCTTGTTACTGGGTCTCCCTGTGTACTTGTGACGTTATCCACAACCATCATGTTTCTTAGGTGCCAAACAGTTACAGAAATGTTTTCATATTGGGGTCAGTAAAGAGACAGATACAGAAGCACCTTGCTTGCAGGAAGCCATGCAGTTAGTCACTACAATTAGTCACGTGAAGCTAGGTGGTTGGGCAGGCCTCAGGCTGTAGTTGTTGAATGGGAGAAAGCCCAGGGGTCTAAAAGGGAGGGTAAAGGGATGGTAGCAGAAGAGTTCCTAGGGCTGGAAGGTTTAGCAGCAGTGTAGTGCAGTGCCCTGTCATCAAGACAAACCCACAGTCCTCCTGGGTGCCTACCAAGCTTGGTTTGTACAAAAGCAAGATTGGAGTCGTATTTATGTACATGAGACAACATCACACTTTCCTGTGGGCCATTACTGTGAAGTGAGTCTGAGTTCTTTACACTGGTGCCTTCTCTGCCCACCACTAATTGTGTACATAGTCTTCCCTGCCCACCACAAATTGTCTACCTTTCCCCACCTCCCAACCAGGAGCTGGTTCTAGGCCTGTGTTATATTTAGCCTTTTTATATATGACCTTTGATTTCTGTTGTTTGTATTTTAGCCCAGTGTATGCACCTTCATTTAAATACATCCGTGTGCGTACAGGTATGTGTATATGTGTGTGCATATGCATATATCTCATCTGTAATTTCTGAGAGTTCAGCTGAAGCAAATGGAGTCCTACAGCCCAGGAGACACATTGCATCCTTGCTAATATTGTTCACCACAAGTGTTAGTGAGTTTTCCCTATTAATGTTTCATTTTGGAAGACTGAATGAAGCAAAGCTTATAGTGTTTGCTGTTTCCATGGCAGCTAAGTGAAGGTCTTGGGATGACTCCCTGTGTTCCTCAAGCTGTACTTTGGGGCCGTCTGTGCAGTATTAACCCCTTTTTGCTTGGTGGTGCTTTGTACTTGTGTGTTATAGTCACTCTTTGTATGGCTTCTGTGTCTGGCATGTGGCATTTAAGGATAGGGTGTTATAAAGGATATAAAACTCTTTATATGCTAAATTCTAAGGGAAATTTATCATATGACTTCTTACACAGGACACATTGAATGATATTACAGCCACTGCTTTGCTTCATTTGAAATTAATAAATGTAACACAAGATTAAAGGGATACTTTATATCCATGAGTTCATTTATTTTTACACAACATTACATTTGTCTTTTCATAATGTTTATTTATAAACACATATATGCACATATCAGTTTTCAGTTGGAATGGAAATATTTTGATTGACAATACCTGATAGTGAGGAAGTATTAAAAGATAATTTCAGAACACTACTCCTTATTATTTTAACTTTAAAAATTATAACCTGGCTGGGTGCGGTGGCTCAGGCCTGTAATCCCAGCACTTTGGGAAGCCGAGGCTGGTGGATCACAAAGTCAGGAGTTTGAGACCAGTCTGGCTAATATGGTGAAACCCCGTCTCTACTAAAAATACAAAAACATCAACTGAGCGGAGTGGCACATCCCTGTAATCCCAGCTACAGCTTCTCCTGAGGCAGGAGAATTGCTTGAACCCAGGAGGCGGAGGTTGCAGTGAGCCAAGGTCAAGCCACCACACTCCAGCCTGGGCAGTAGGGTGAGACTCTGTTTCAAAAGAAAAATGAATAAAAAGTAATAATAGTAATCACGTTCGATTAACTATGTCACATTTAAAAGAATCACACAAGGGACATTTAGTCATTTTTCAGAACTTGAGTTACAAAAAATATATATTTATAAAGTTAACTTCTGAAGTGAGACTAATTATTTTAGCCAAGTCACCATGCCTGTAGTGGATAGACCAAATGGAACACTTGGAGGCATGGTTTCTCAACCTGAGCTTCACATGATTCTCCTAGGGCACCTTTTAAAAATGGCAAGAGAAATCCCAAATAATAGTGACTTGAACAAGATTGAGGTTTATTTTTTTCAAGTAACAAGAAGAATGAAAGCAGTCAGTCCTAATCTAAAGTAGCAACCCAAAGATCTCTGGGCTGATGTCACTGTAAGTCTATGTCCTTTCCCTTAAGGTCAATTTTAAGCAGTTTTAAGCTGGCAATTGTAGCTTCAGTTAGGAATTCTATAACCAGGAAAGAAAAAAGAAAAGTAGCACCTAGCTGAATCTGTCCTCTTCTGAAACTTTCTGGAAGGCTCAGATACAGACTTTCATTCACATCTTTTTGGACTACACTTTTCTTCAATTAGTGATACAGAATACAGGATTTTAACAGGGTACCTGTCATCTCCAGCAAATTTAGATTCTGTTAAAAAAGATAAATATTTGTAGATTACTAGATAATAATCTTTAATACTCCTGTGATGTTCTGTGAAGTCCATCACTTCACTGTTCTGAAGTTACACTTAAATTATAAAACAATAACATAAAAAGGAAAGAGGTAATGTAAAATTATATCACCTCCACACTAAATATAATTAGAAGCTATTATAATAAAGACAACTTATAAGTAAAAATATACAAATTTTGTACAAACTTTATTTTCCATGACAGTAACCATGTCTACACATTATCTACACATTAAAAAATGTTTAAAAAGCCACCGAGAACAATATTTTTACAGAAGACTACTACAAAAATTACTACTGTTAGAAGGTTAGGAGGATCTAAATTTGAACTACATTGTCTTTAGTCCAGACCCCTTAATGGACTCATTAACTCCACCAAAATAAATTTCTGAAGTGAAACAACCCTTGTTCTCAACATATGATACTATATTTGATATAAAAGTTCAAGCAAATTTTTTAGAACTCAGGAAAATAATGACATGACACTTCTATGGTCTTTTTGTTTTATTAGTTATGCTGACAATAGTCCAATTTTGAATAGTGTGCTTTATAAAGTAAAATTTTCTGTCTCAGCATACCTTAAAAGTTAGAAACTTTTGTAATTATTTCCCAGCAGAGATGAATTAATTCACAGCAAACTTCTCAGAGCTGCTAATGACTGCATGATCAGGTAATTTTATTGTTTTAGCAAACAATGATAAAATGCATTTAATTTTCACTCAACTTTTCTTTGCTTAATGTATATCTAATAGAAAAAGATACCTTCACTCATTTGCACGGTTATTCGTTTTCATCTCATTTGGTAGAATCTTAGTGTGATAGATCTTTTTCTAAATTTTGAACTACATTGTCTTTAGCCCAAACCTCTCCCTTGCTCTTAGATGTTTCTCAAAGATGTTTTTAAGCTTGCAACTTTACTATTACTTTAAAGACATAATTAAAGAACAGCATTATTTTCAAAAGTTGACCATGGACAATGACAAAATAACTAAAATGAAATAGGGAATGAATTATCACATTTCAACAAAATTTTTCTTAATCCTAACGGCTAGAATAACTGAACTTTATTTCTAGTTCCACTTAACTAAAGTGCCTGAATAAAATTACATTTTTTATGAGATGACAATACAGTAGAGACCATCCGTGTTCTAACGACAATCTACTCCAGAGTTATGATCTGAGCACATCCATTCATCTCCTTTCCTATGATATCATAAAAGTTCAGTAAAGAGTTAAAAGACCAACTGACAGCAATAAAAAGTGTTTATATGATAGAAATCAGGTGAAAAGTGGAGCCTGATGAATCAAAGACAAAGTGACAAAATCTGCATTGAGAAAGTCTTCTGACCTGCAGAACCCTGATGAAGGCAAGAGCCCCAAACAAATCAAGTTCAAGTCAGAAGGGTAGCTGAGACAATGAATAGAGTGAACGTCCGAATAGAACAGCTGCAAGTTTCTCTTCCTCAAGCACTACTCCAGGCAGATAGATTGGCACTTTATCATCAAACAATAATCAATCAATCAATCAATAACTCGACTGAAGAATTCTCTTAAAAATGTACACAAGTCATGCCTCAATACACAGTAATTGAGTCCAGCTTTTATGTTGCCATAATAATAAAAATAAATGGATATCCAAGAGCCTCCAGTATCTTACAAGATTACAGTATCAAAGAGAAAAACTGAGACAACTCGGGCTCGTATACTGAAATCGTGAAGAGTAAATAACTTTAGCAAACAAATAAGCACACAAATCATGAATTCTAATTTGTATTATCAACGATATTTGAAAAAAACAGCATCTAAACTTTGGATGATTAAAAAAAAAAGTCCAAGAACAAGAACTAAAGTAAAATATTCAGTAAAAGAGCTGAAAAGTTTTTAAAAAACATATTTAGAAGAAAAAAGAACAAGAAATGAAGCATATGAGAATAAAACAATAAGACCCTGATTTTATCTGATTTTTTAAAGTTACAGAGCTAACATAAGAAAAGTAGATTAGTTGGATGGTAATAAAGACGAATTTATTAAATAAAAATTATAGGAAATTTTTCCAGAGTTTAAGAAAAGGGTCTCTCTATTGAAAGGGCTCACACTGACCATTAAAAACAACAAAGCCCTTACTTAGGACACTAAGTTCTGAATTATGGATGATTCTTGGCCAAATATAAATACGATTTGAGCTGCATATGTAATTTTAAATTTTTCAATAGTCACTTCTGAAAAGCAAAAAGAATTAGGTTAAAACTAATTTTATTGATACGTTGTTCAAGCCAGCTATACCCAAAATATCATAACTTTGCTATTTAATCAATGTTGAATTATTGAGATATTTGGAGTTCATTTGTATACTAAGTCTTCAAAATTCACTCTTTATTGTTATGGCACAATTCATCTGGATGCTAAATTTTTGCACAAGTATTTAATCTATATTAGATTTCATAAACTCTATAGCTCAAAAAATAGATTTACATGAACAAGTTTTTCTAAATTTTTTAAAAGTTTTTAATAACTGGATAAAGTACCAGATACAAATTTAAATTAACTATTTAAAATAAAATATAAAGATATTTGCATAAGTTGCATTAGACAAACTTCACGTACTCAATACCAACAAGTGTCTAGTGGCTATCATTTGGGTTAGCACTGCTGTAGATCACCTTGATTAAAATTAAATTCTAGAGCTTTTAGAACAAATGTAAGAATAGGGCAGGCAGGGAAATGAGTACACAAATATCTTACAAAAGAACAGAAATCTGTCCAGCATCTTAACACCCATGAACAAAATTCTTTGGTACAATAAACAGAAAGAAGACCTGGAAGGAGATGTTTTTTAAAGGCTACACTGTTTCATTTAGGATAAATACATTCTGGAGATCTATTGTACAATATGGTGACTACGGTAAACAATAATGTGTTGCACACTTGAAAATTGCTAAGACAGTAAAGCTTAAATGTTCTCACCACAAAAAATGATAAGTATGTGAGGTGAAAGATACGTTAATTAGCTTGATTTAGCCATTCCATAATGTCTACATATATAAAAACATATTCTACACACTATAAATACATACAATTTTTATTTGTATTATGTATTAGGAAAACTGGGTAAAAAAAGAAAAAGGACCTAATTTCTGAGAGACAAATTATTTTCAATGTAGAATAATGTATCCACCTAAAATATAATTCAAGTGGAGGGAAAAACAAAAGCATTTCAGGAATAAAGAAATTTTTAATATTCAGAACTATTATTTCCATGTACATTTTTTAGAAATTATTTAAAGATTCACTCTATAAAAGTTACTGTAGAGGAAGATGTGCTATCAAGAAAAGTGTTTATTTCAGGATCAAAGATCAGCAGGTCCGTAAAATGATAATATCAAATTTGACAAGATGACAGAGTCTTCAAGAGGAAATTGGAGAGGGGATCTCTGGAGTTGGGAGGGGGAATTCAAATATTCACACAGTAAAGAGCCTATGAAGAAAATGAAAATACTGAAATGGTAAAGTAATAAATAGAAAACATCAGAACTTGACTAAAGGATCATTGTCCAATGACTGGAAAAGAAAACCACAAAACATAGTTATAGAAAAAAATATGGATTGTATTCACCTTAAAAATATAACAGTAATCAACAAACAGAAGGGATGGAATGTTAAAAGGAGATAGAAAAGAGAGAGAAGGGGGGAATATTTTATAATCATTAAGAGAAAATAAAGTTATATTGTATATGGTTGATGAAAGAAATGAATATATAATACTGTTTTGTTTGAAAGTTGAAGTGACTAGTAGAGGCTCTGAAAATACTGATATAAATATGTCAAGAGA